ATCACTTATTTTCGTAAGTTCATTTACTACATTGTGAGAGTTGCAGGCACCCCTGTTCGAATTTTTTTTTAATGATTTCCATAGCTTTTTAGGAAAATTTTTATTTATTAATATTTCTCGATGATCATAATCACATTTTAATTTTCTTAAAAGGGAAATGTAAAAATTGCGATATCTAGTCTAAATAAGTTTTTTATTCGCATCGTATGGATGTTTTTTTGTTTCTAGATGTAGCCTATCTTTATGTTTTGAACATCGAATTAAGCCTGGAGACATCCAGGGTTTGATAGTGAACTTGGAGTGGCTAACTGTGACTAATCTCGAGTGTTTCGATATTAGGGTGGACAGAGTAGATGAGAACTTAATCGCTTCTTCATCAAGACCTACATTTTTTAAAATATTAGACCAGTCTATTTTTTGCAGTCGTATTTAATACCTTCATAGTCAAATTTAAATCTAAACCTATTTATATTTGTATTTGTTTTAACCGGGTTCATAAGTCCTACCATGATTAAATAATGATCAGTTAAATCAGCGGGGCAGATAATCGATTGTGTTTGAATATTTGAGGGAACGAATATGTGATCAATACATGTTTTATTATGTGTGGGTGAAGTGACAGAAGGGATTAACCCTTGGCCAGCTAGAAGGTTAAGATATGTTGATGTATTTTCATCATTTAATGATGTATCTAGAATATTTATATTCATGTCACCGGCAATAATAAGGCTCGGACATGACTTAATAGAGTTTAGAGTTCTTTCTAGAGAAGAGATAAAAGGAGTTAAATTAGCAAAAGAAGGAGACCTGTATATGCCAATCACAGTGAACGCATTGGGAACTTCTATCAAAAGCGCATTTGCCTCCTCAATATCTGGTTCTACCACTTTAGCTGCCCATTTATTGCTTACATATATTACCACTCCACCAGATTTGTTGATATATTTTTGTGTATTGTATGAGTGAAAGCCATCAATTTGATTAACAATAGAACTCTCATTCAACCAGCACTCACTCATTATAATGATATCAAAGGCTACATCTAATCTAGTATAAATAATCAGAAAATTATCAAAGTTACATTTCATGCTCCGTATATTAACATGAAGAACCTTTAACGTATATTTTAAGATTACTGGTGCACAGTTTTCAGGAATGAGAATGTTATTGCAAGCGGTATTTCTTTCATAATCTATGACATCTATTAATTCACGTGAAGAAGCTAATATCTAGAAAGATTTTTAAACATTAGTAATTTACTGTAATAACTGCTAGAGATCGGGTGAATTACCTACAAAGTTTGTATTATTTATCCATTAAGTAAAGTATAATTATATGTAAAGTAACAGCCTACACATGCATGCTACACAATACAATAGTAGTCCACCGTGCGGCCTCACTGCGCATTGGCGGACTTCACATATCTTCCAAATATTTTTTCTTGTTATTATTTCGAAGAATACGCAGATTTTCTTACGTTGTTTTTCTTCACCGCTGTGCAGCACTTCAGCAACTTCAACAACAACACATTAACAATTTCATTGGTGCCGGCACCGGGGATCGAACTCAGGTTGGTATATTGAATTAAGGGCGAGCGCCCGGAGCTATCACGGCTTTTTTTCCCCATTAAAATAATGTTAAATCTGCGTCTTATCTTGTTCACCCAGATTTATGTTATTTAAAAAAAATATTAATATAATTCGTATTATTTTGGAACATCAGAACTACTGCCATAGTACACAACATACTGCCTTTTAAGCACGTTATAAAATGTAGTACATGCGGGCGGAGCCGCGGGTGAAAAGCTAGTAAAGTAATAACTTGTTTATTATTAATTTTAAACGTCGAATTTTATAATAATTTCGTTCCAGTGCAGGAAAAATATGCCGTGGGAAACTTAAACATTTTTATTAAGTGATTTAAGTCAGCCATTCTGAGAAACAATCAAATAATTGCAGTTGCAGGGAAAACCCTGTGCTAATTTTTACTGTTTCTTAAATTATATTAATCCCATGTTGTGGTTGGATGTTATAGCATTTAATTTGCTTTAAAATTACCAACGATTCTATTTAGATGTAAAAAGTAAAGACAGCCTATATATGTCCAACGCTGGGCAAAGGCCTCTTCTGTACAGAGGGTATCAATCAGGGATAGTCCACCACGCGGCCCCACTGCGGATTAGTTGACAATTTAGATGACTAAAATTAATATTACGGGACAAAACAATGGAACGTAGGTTGCATTGTTTCGAAATGTGGAGATAACTTTTTATGGTAGAGCGGGTCTATTTTCAATATTTAGAAATCTATTTATTGTCGACCCGACGTGGGGAGTAGTGACCCTGCCTCCTGCGCCAGAGGGTTCGGGTTCGATCCCCACTACTGGAAAAATATTGTGTGATGAACATCGTGTTTTTCAAGAGTCTGGGTGTTTATATATGTAAAGAAAAGAATGTTTAAGTAAGTTTATCAGTTTTCTAGTACCCCATAGTACAAGCGTTGCTTAGTTTGGGACTAGAGAACGTTGTGTAAAAAGTGTGTCCGAAAATATTTATTTATTTATTTAAACGCGAGTATTCTAAAAATACAAATATAGCAATAATGATCATCTTAATGAAAGAATTTAATTTTACAAGTTTTCGAGACCTTGTCGACTGCCTATTTTGGCCTCATTCCAGAAGTAAAAGGGATAGCACGGATATAAAAAGGAAAAGCTTTGATTTTTTTACAAAGTGAAAAGCTAAAAAACTTAGTGAAAGAGTAAAAGCATTCGATTTCATAATTCAAAGTAAGTAAAGTAAAGTAAAGTAACAGCCTATACATGTCCCACTGCTGGGCAAAGGCCTCCTCTATACAGAGGGTATCAGGGCATAGTCCACCACGCGGCCCCACTGCGGATTGGTGTAATTCAAAGTATTCCTTTTTTCCTAAAAAAATCATACAAAATGAAGTAATTGCAAGAAAAACTAATCTTTTCATATTAGAGTGCAGGCGTACTTTTTGTTGAATATTTAAGAATAAGACTTTGGGAAATCCATCTTTATCGTGTTTATAATAATAAAATAACATAAATCTTTCTTACTGCTAAAACACGAACGAAGACATCGTTTAGTTGTTCATTTCTCTAAGGTATAAATCAAATAATTAATTTAACAAAAATTTATTAAAAAAATTGTTTTCGAGAATAAATTAGTAACAGAAACATTATTTTGAAAATCTTTTTCTTCTTATTTTCAACTATCATTTCTCTTTTCTCATTAATCCTCTTCAATTTAGTTTTATTTTTTCTTCTTTTTCTGCTGGTTCCTTATTTTTTCAACATTTTTTCTTGAACATTTTTCTATTATTATACAACCAAAACTAATAAAGGGCATTCAAACATTATTCTTTCTATGTCTATTAGACATTATCTTAAAAGCTGCGTTATTATCAAGATCATCATTTTACAGTTTGTGGTGTCGAGTCTTTAGGTGTTGTCTCGTCAAGGTGGATTCTCATTGATTCTGGTAGAGTATTCAATGTCTCATTCGCTCCACAATCAACTCTATTAGATACATTGTCAATTTAAGCAGTATTTTTTACTGATAAAATAATAAATACTGATAAATTTAATATAAAGCAAGAAACTCCAGTTACTATTATACCGTAGAATTCATTCGCTTATTAAAGCAGTTAATCATTAAGCAGATTATATTCATTAACACATAAAAACTTGAAAGCGTTATGTAGCGTTAATAATAAAAACAAGTAACTGTGTGATGAGTAAGGAAAATTATTACAAAAACAATCAGTGCAATTATTAACGCAACACGTCACTCTTACGGCTTCTGTTTCAAACGTAATTTCCATTATGGTTCCCGATATAATTATATTAATCATGTGTAGAAGTATGTATATTTGTCTACCTAATATCAAAGTGATTCTTCGGATTATATTTATTGCTGACATCCCCATCAGTTACTCAGTGTTACTGTTTGGATTATTTTCTAAGTTATTTGAAATTTTCTATTTCAACATATAAAAACTATTATAATTTTTGTAGCGATTGAGTTTCATATCTTTGTAATGTTTTCCTTTTTAACGTCTACGAATTGTGTTAGTTTACTTTATACATAAAAGTTTATTACAAACATAGAAACAGATTAATAACAATAATATTGGATAAACTTTGAAACAAATATACGACATCAAATTACTCGTTGCCATTTTGCGAATTTCTTTACATTTTAACTGTGGGAGTTATTTTCTATATAGTAATTATTGTTCAATATAAAATAAATTCGCAACATTTTCACTCACAGTCAAATAATTATAATTCTTAAATTTAATCATTCGCTTTTAGTGTAATTATTGTAAGATTATGAATTGATGCCCGTATTAGCTTGTGTTTGTTTCATTTAAGAAATTTAATGTAAATTTATAAAATGTTAAGCATTTCAATCGCTTGTTCTTTGAATTTCCTATTAGAAATTATATAAGATTATCGTACACCTTTAAAATGCCACAAATAGATGATTTAAGACTTCGACTAGATGCATAATAACTAAAGGTTAGCAATGACTGAAGAATTTTATTACGATTTTAATGATCGCTATTTTATTTCTAGTGCAAATGATAAATGTATCATTTCACCATACCAACGGATGTTAACAATGAATCAGGAAGCAAAAAAAAAAGGATTTATAATAATGACATTGGTAAAAATTTCATTATGTAGCTATCCTTATCCTCAGTTAATTGTGCATTCGTAAGGAGTTAGTAGTTGTGGTTGGTTTGGTTTTTTTAAGTGCATTTTTTAAATAGTTTTTTAATCTTTTCTTGCGGCTCATCGCGTTATAAATAATTACTCAGTTTTTATATTTCTGACGTTTAAAACACTAGATACAGTATTGAATATAATATAAGCGCTGTAAAATGCAATTATTACTTTTTGTAGTCTTAGAATTCATTTAAAAAAATATAATGTTGTTAAATATTTAGAAAAACTTATCAATGATCAAAATGTTCATAACCTTAAATTTAGGTTTAATGGTGCTTATTTTTTAATGGAACTTGTTTTTTTAAACGATTTTGAGAACTGGCTTTGAAATTTATAAATTCGAAATGTGTAGCGGTTTGAAATCAAATGCATATTTATATTTATATATATTAATTTATGTTTCAGATTAAGTGCGACGCTGACTAAAATCGCTGGAACGAAGGGAAAAAGAAAGGTATTAAGAATTTAATGTAATCGAAAGTTAGTCAAAAATCATAATTTCTTCAATCGATCCAAGCTTGTTTCATGCTCTTATTAAATTGTGTCTATGTCATGCGATCTAGGTCTATCAATAAGATCAGGACAAGGAATCAACTGGACAACTGCAGTTCTATTAATATAATAAAAATAAGAAATGAGTACTAGAGTAATCCCACAATTAAGGGATGTTCCACAAACTTAAAGCAGGCACGGACTACACACAGACAACAGTTCATGGATCGCAATTTTTAAATCTCGTGTGGAAATCGAACACGTAATAACACGCTCACACGAAACCATTGCACCATCAATGTGCTTATGTTAAAATAAAAATTATAACGTAGAATCTTATCCTTTAAAAGGAATTCTTGTATATATATATATAATCGGAATCTCGGAAACGGCTCCAGCGATTTTCAGGAAAGTTAGTATGTGCGTTGATTCGGGGGCGAAAAATCGATCTAGCAAGGTTTCATTTTTAGAAAATGTCCTTTTATCCCTATTTTCAGGGAATGAAAAATATCATTCGAATATGACGATAAATTTCGCCGAAAAAAAATGTTATAATAGCTCTGTCGGTAATCGGGCGGCCCCGAAACAGAAGGCCGTGGTTTGTGTCATGATCATTTACATACTTATTATTTTACTTTTTTTTCGATTCCCGATCATTGCTTTCTTTATTTTTTATTTATTGTCCATCTAGATGATTTTGTTCTTCTTTCCCTTTTTTTAAAGTTCTTTCTTTTATGAAAAATACCAGTCCATATTTTCTTATTATTACGTCGGTAAGATCGAAAAATATTATGCATATTTCATTACTCAGTAATTTGTATCTAAATGTAATTTCTAAAATACACGATTTACCAAAAAAAACAGGTCCACCAGGTACTTATATATAAATCGCAATAAACACCGCAACTATCGTTGTTTGCAAACTGTTAAGATACGTTTATGTGACGCGAACGCGACGAAATACCTACGATTTGGTTAACGCTACCTCTTCGGTTTATACAATGACCTGTTTACAAGTCCGAGAGTTCGTCTCGTTTTTGTCTCTAACTTGATGAGTAGAAGATTTTTTCCCCCCGCTCAAAACACGGCCATTAAATAGATCGCGTCCAAATGAGCGTTTCTTAAAAGCCATTCGTATGTTGTAAGGTTTCGCTAATTCTGTAATAAATAAAAAGAATTGCTATGTTTACCCAATTTCAGGACTATTTCATACCTCTATGTACGTTAACAATGAAAAAAAATACTTGAATGCGTTCAGCATTGAAATGTCGGGGCACAGGAAATGTATCATTTCGCTTACTTTGACACGAAAACTAAAACGAACAGGATGCCCAATGATGTCATTAATTTATATTACGTATATACTTAAATGACATGGTAGAAAAAATGTAAAACACTGAAAAAATTATTGAGTTTTCGTTGAATGTGTTTGCAATTTTACGCACTTCGAATGAGTTGTTTATGAGTTACACTTGTTGTTTCGATTCAAGTGGTATTTAAAATCTAATATATAAAATTATTGTGTCACAGTTTTAGTGTTTATACTCCTCCGAAACGGCTTGACGGATTTTGATGAAATTTTATATGTATACTCAGAAGGTATGAGATAGATTTATAAAAATTTATTTCTACCCTACAAATAATTTATATGACAAAACAACGTTTGCCAGATCAGCTAGTTCTTTTATATAATTCTACCCATTAATATTAGATTTAAAATTGACCGTGAGGCAATTTGACTTATTTATATATATTCATACTTTTGGATGTGGCTATCCACAGATCAATATTTAAATTTATTCTGGATACTGCTTTAAGCCCTTTTAAAACTTGTTGCTTTAACTCTGACACCTCTTCAGTAAATTAACCAAATAAAACCCATTTATTAGTTTATTTGACATTTGTTTTTATTTGACATTTGTTAACACCTCATGCAATAACTGCATAATACTGACACTGACTTAATAAACCTGTATCGGAGACGCTATTAAAGAGTTTGCTACTGTAACATCTGTTACTGCCTAATGTAGTAAAAAAAGTAAAGAAACAGCCTATGATATATGTTCCACGGTTGGGCAAAGGACATCTTCCACCACGCGACCTCGCAGACCGCAACCAGCAGACTTCATATTTCTTCAAAATATTTTTTTGTTATTATTTTGAAAACATGCAGATTCCTTCACGATGTTTTACTTAACCGCTGAGCACGCGATAAGCCAGTCCTTAACAATTCCATTAGTGCTGACAAAGGGAATTAAACTCAAGTTGCTCGAGTACATTGATTTATAAGCGAGCGCCCGGATACTGAGCTATCACGGTTCACGGCTAAAACAGTAGTCGAAACTAATTAGGAATGCCGTGCTCTGACGTCCGCCTCCGCGCGTTGCAGGAACGATGCCCCGCGTGGAGCCCACACCGGCCGACTTCAGGCGCGTGCTGCGCGAGAAGGCCCTCAACCACAGCCTGTTCTACTTGAGGCTGAGCGCGGGCGAGACCGTGGAGAAGGCGGCGCCCGCGCAGCGCTGCACCGACGCCAGTGGCGTCCCGGCCGCGCTGCCGAACGGACGTCGGCACCCGCAGCCGCGCGTCTCCGAGCTGCTGCGCCGCTTCGAGAACGGCCCCATGCAGTACCTGCGAATACCGCGCGCCGCGACACCGCCCGACGACATCACGTCGTCCGACGACGACGACAGGGCGGCCGTGAGGCGCCGCAGCCGGGACCTCAGCGACGACTCGGCCGTGGAGCTGGAGCCGCGGCCGAGGCGGCACTCGCACCCGCGTGACGTCACGCCGCCCCCCGAGACGTTGCCGAGGCGCGAGAGGACCCTCGTGGAGGCGCACGTGGTCGAGCTCGGCCGCAGGGGCAGCGAGGGGTGCGAGTCGAGGGGCCGCTGCGTGCGCACGCCCAGCGTGGTCGTCAGCGACTACTCGGACGGCGTGGCCGTGGGCGCCACCGACGAGGAGGTGGATTGGCTGAGGTCCAGGTCGCTGTCGGCCGACTCGGCGTGCTCGTCGTGCTCCACTCTCTCGAGCCGCGATGACGACGAGCTCGAGTCGCCCACCCTGACGAAAAAGGTACGTGAGGATTTTTTTGACTCGTAAATATTGTTACGAAGAGAGTGTTTTTAATTTAAGGCGCACTTAGCCAACTTGTAAATAAACACATTTACAGAGCTATAATAGTTCACAGAGCTATAATAGGAATAGTTCAATAGAGTAAAATATAGTATAGTTAGTTCATAGTTACTTCTGTAATGTCATAAATTCAATGTTGAAGTTCGTTAAAATTGAGGATTTCCTGCTAAAGCTTATAAAGCTTACCATCTAAAAATGGCATTGGGATTATCGAAATTATCAATATGATTTGAATTATGATTCTATATGGCTTAATGAAATTAAACAAATAATATTTTAAATACTTAAATATAATACAAATTATAAGGATATATGACAAAATGAATGTCCAAAATGAATGTCCAAATTGTCTGTCGTATATAGTATTTGTGTTCCAAAACAATTAATCATTATTTGAAACCAAAGAGAACTTATTATTGGCAGATTAACGGTGGTAGGGCCATGTAGCAGCCTCGGCTGTTGCACGAATGGGCAGGCTCGTCCGGGTAAGTAACCACGACCTCACAGAAGACCGGCGTAAAGTGGAAGTATAATACCTTTACGTTATGTCTGGTGAGTGAGGTGGCCGGAGCCCAATTTTCAAAAGGTTGTCAAAACATCTATTCATTTATTCACTTAACATCAGGTAAACCGTCTGCTCGTTTGGCAACTTCTCATATAAAAAAAATGATAGATTAAAAAAGTATTTTATCTCTCGTGAATTTTAACCAATTTGACAACCCTACTGGTTCAGACAAAGAACATTCAATCCAAGGGACTCTCCCTTGGATTTAAATAAATGAATTTTAGTTAAAAAAAAACATTCAATAGTGAAAACACTGTGCCACAATAGTGGCAGCCTTCGCGATCATTTATCCCGCAATTAATTAAGAAGTGTGTCGAATCCGGGCATTTGGAATTAGCTCCACAACCATTCGGTTTCTCGCCAGCCTCCGTTGTTTGCGTCAGTTGATTGCGTCGCAGCGGACGGGATGCCATTCGCTGTCTTTGTTTCGTAGCTTTTTACGATTTTATTTTAGTGTCGTATTTCGATTTTGTCTAAGCGTGCCTCTCTATAGCGTTTATTCGATATAGAATTGATGTTTATTTGTGCTAACGCTGTGCCTTGACGTTTTTGTAAACACAGCAGAGTATTGGTTTTTGATTGCCGTGGTACCAAATATATCTGAAACTTGCTATCATACAGAAATGAAAAAATAATTAGGGTTTCCGAGTAATTCCATTTACTTTATCAATAAGTAAAAGGAAGTTTCTTCTATCGTCAAAACTCGCTTTGTGCGTATTCTTTACACATTAGTAAACAATAAACGTATTGCGTCAACCCTCTGGCTTTCTGCAAAACTGTGCATCAGTAAAAAAGGCATGTAATTAATTTAATTGAAAAAAAAAATGTAATGTCACAATATAGAGTACTAGCTGCTGCCCATTAAGACAGAAAGATAGATATACTTAAAATATGTATATAAATTATAGCCTATGTCTTATTCTGATGTAGAAGTTATATTATTGTAAAGTTTCATTAAAATCCATGCAGTAGTATTTGCTTGAAAGAGTAACAAATAAAAAATATCATTGGCTCTACCACAAGAATTTTTGTACAGATTATTTGACAATTATGTCTGTAATTGAAATAGAAAACATATTGGTTATAAGTAACGAAAATTATTTACGAAAATATCGAACAGCGTAGTGTGTGTCGAGTATCGAAAATGTATTTATTTAAAAACTTTTTGCGTACAATGACGGACTTAACACCATTAGGTGTTCTAAACCGGTCAACTAACAAATGTATAGAGAAAATAAGGAGGAGAGAGCCGAATGCGAAGTAGTGAAAATATATGGTAAATTTATGTAATTATAGTTCTTATTAGCGTTACACCATAGGGGCATAACGAAAATAAAATTTGCATAATTGGATGCCACAATGTTTATGTTGATATAACAGTAAATATAAACATTGTATAAGATATCGACCATTTAACCAGTTGTTGATTATTACACAATGCAAATACGACGGACAAAAGCGTGTACACACAGCTAACTAAAACATTTACATTTATTGTTGTTGCGTTATCAGAAATCGAGGGAAGTTTGACGAGTGTTCCGTAACAAACATTTCCATGAACACTATCGGGAAACGTTCGACATGTAATCCCAAGCTCCATGGTACAGCGGTGAAGGGTCATTTGCATGCGGAGCGGATGCCGGCATCCGTTAAATGCACTGGATATGCGTTAACTGGAGTGAGACATTTTGAATCGTGACAATCGGCCTTTTGTGTCGGTCCGTCCGCAACATCCATTTCCCCGAGCCATAGGCACCTACCGGCCTCGTAGATATGTAGCGACTCCACACCGAAAGTACCAGTAAGAAACGGAAGTATTGTTTAAAAACAAGATAAAAGTAACAGCAACAGTACGGAGGCCTAATATCCGCTGTACAGGCACAGGTGCGGATTGCGACTTCATATATAAGACATTATTATTATAGTATATATAGAGTACAGTGAGCGAGCGCCCGGACAGCGAGTAATCCTAACTTATATTATTTATATTTTTATATCCTTACTAATATTATAAAGGCGACTATATTATAAAGTTTTTATGTATGGATGGATGTTTTTTACTCTTTCACGCAGATACCACTGGATGGATTCTAATGAAACTTTACAATAATATATTTCTACATCAGAATAAGACATAGGCTATAAATTGTATACATATTTATATATATATATATATATATATATATATATATATATATGTCTTTGTGTCTGAATGTTACGCATTCAGCCTATTCTACGCAGACGTAGTCGCGGGCGGCAGCTAGTCTAAAATAATATGAACGCTGTGCTTTGACGTTCGCTCTATCAGGGCACGGAAGTGTTGTTGGAAGTGGTGTGAATTTAACAACAAATAGAAATTATCCAAATTGCGATAGCTTTGATTAACCTGGGTTACTTTGTAAATCCGATCAAAATTATTAATCAAAAGTTGACAATTTTCATCGTCGTCAACCTGTTAAGAGTCCACAGCTAAACATAGGTCTCCTCCACAGACTGCTATGATCGATCTTGAGCCACCTACATACATCGGCATTCACACATTTGCATAGATTGTCACTCCGTCTAGTGGGTTGTCCTAAGCTCCCAAGGCCAGTACGAGGCTGCCACTGGAGAACCTTTCTTCCCATTGGTTATCGGTTTTACAGATATAGGGCAGTTACAAAATCCCAGGTTATATTTTTATATAACCTATGATTTTGTAGGACATAGAACAGCTCTGTCACTCCGTGGCCATTAATGCTGTTAAGTGTTCTTCTTTATTAACCGACTTTATTAGTTATATAAGTTTACAAAATTATTTAAGTATAAAAACAGCAGCAGCTTTTCAGGGGACTTATAAATGCAGAGCAAGAGTCATTTTCACACATACCTTAGACCCTCTCCATTAAGGTAGCTTTAACAAAATGTTTACGCGAAACAGGTATACCGGATTCTTTAAAAACAATCTGAAAGGATACCACAGCATTTTTGAAGTATGATTATCTATGGACAACAGTAATTATGCTATTTTCTTCATCTGTAGATGATAATAATGTATGATTGCCTAAGGAACAGTTGAACTGAGTTTTTTTAAATCAATCGATGAGAGAACAGTGCCAGTTTACGGTTCATTGCTAAAGCCTCCCTTCTCATTTTATTCAGCATATTAATTGTTCGGTGATCGACTTCATTCTTTTCACCAAGTGTAATACTTAATGAAAAGAATGAACATTTCTTTGACCAATATTAAATTTTTTTTTTTATTTTTTGTGCTAGAATCTGTACTTGTGTGTAGATAAAACTGTCCGTTTCTACATGCTGTTGAATCGGTGAAATGTATGTTAATTACTTTAAAATTAGTGTATTAATAAGACACTTCTTATGGATTTGATTTTTACTTACCTTTAATAAAACCTGTTAGGCTATAACATATTATTAATCAAAATCCTACAATCATGTCTTAAATATTTACTTTTGTTGATCCCAATTCGAACTATTTTACTTAGTTCTACATAATGTTGAAATTGCTAGAGGATTTTTAAAGTATGTTGTGTGTGTGATCTAAACAACATTTAGTTGTACCAACACAAATGTTGGTTAGATCTACGGAAGAACCTGCTCGAAGATAACGCTACGTTTGGTCTTTTATAAGGCGTGCAGTGATAAATTATTCAATAAGCCGTCGCCATTTAAATTAACAGCGATGTTATTTAATTGGACATATTGCCCAATTAAATAACGTTTCGAATGATACTTTCTTGCCATAAAGTGTTCTTATTTATGTTTATTTTGAAATAGAATTATTTACACAAAAAGGAAATCCTATCAGCGATTTTAACTTGATATATATGCTAGTTACATTTTCGCTTTTATCGTATAAACTTACACGAAATATTAATGTCTATTATACATCACAATCATGTTTTGTTATGTTTATTATGTTTTATGAATTTGAAAAGATGTAACCTTTGCATGCCATCCCTAGGAGGCACGAGCTCAGTATCGGGTTTAACTAGAGTATATATTATATTCAATGGCATCACTACATAGCATAAAACAAAGTCGTATCGCTGTCTGTCTGTATTTTTGTATGCTTAGATCTTTAAAACTACGCAACGGATCTTGATGCGGTTTTTTTATTAGATAGAGTGATTCAAGAGGAAGGTTTATATGTACGCGTATAATACATTACACCCGTGCGAAGCCGGGGCGGGTCACTAGTTTAATATACGCCTTTAACACGTAGATGTCTTCGCTACGTCATGATGTACATATACAAATATTTAATAAAGCTATCGTTTATATAATATGAAAAAGACACGTTTAGAATGTATAGAGGACAAACTGTCAATTAACGTCTAAAGTCAATAAGGTTGCTAATACACTATTGTCTTAG